ACCTTGAATACTAATTTCTCGTATTCCATGACACTGCTTGAAACGTGTTAGCCAACCGGAAGAAGCGTCAAAACTTCCTTGTAGTTCAAGTGCTTTGTAAAAAAATTTCGCTTGTTTAGAACAAACTGCTCCTGTTATTGTTGTTCCCTGTGCCCTTAGTTGATTAAACCAGATCAGCATTGCTTTGTCAAGATCATCATATGTTGATTTTTTCATGGTTTTTCTCTTCTTCATTCCGGTTGAATTAGAAGACAAAGCAAAGGAAATTAATTGATTCTTTTGTGTTTTCAAATCACAAACAGTTTGTTCTCCAATACCATATTGCATTGCTAATTGTTTAACTACACCTCCTTTTCCCAACTGATTGATAATTTCAAGTTTCTGTTGAATACTTAACACAACATGCTTCCTTTTACACCCTGACATTTTGCTAACGCACTTGAAGATCGATGCAAAGAGACTAACTGGGGCGGTGTATCTGTCCTTGAAACTTTCCACAAATCCTTGCATTCTTTCACCCCTGCCCTAGAACATTGTGTTAGCATAACGGGACCAACAAATGCAGAGCTCAGTTCACACTAGTGCGAAAATAGTGTTACAGCTCACCATGTGAAACAAAAGAGAATGAATATTAAACAACATATAAGCCTCAAAAAAGCCCCGGTAGTCCCAGTTAAGCCGCGAACCAGTTTATCCGCCCCCGGATAATCGAGAGTTGAGTGTAATTTGGGACAGCTGTTGATCTGTTTGATTGTATTCATATTACTAATTTTCCTGCAAAACCCTTTACAGGCAAAACATTGATCCTAACCATAGTATTATTCCACGTCAGAAGAGGCTGCAAAGAGTTCTAGTACAGTACCGTGCTCTAGGCTGGACTGAGACACAGCAAGAAGCTGCAGTCAGGTATAAAACTTCCTTATGTCTGCTTTAACTTCACTTGTATGTGCTTACATGTGGCTCTTTGTTTTCTCCTGTTTGTGCAGTGCTAATATTATTTACCACAGATGGAATGGTTTACATAGTTACAGGAATGTTAAAATTTATAATTGATGCAAAGTTTTCTTTTCAGGAAAGCAAGAGATATTCACTATATGAAGCGAATTCAGTCTAAATATGCAACTAATCTTGGAGTGAAAGCAAACAAATTACAAAGACATTTCAGGCCTCAAGTCAATTTCTAATTCCATTACTACAAGAATCGTACTGTTGTATTTCATCTCATTGAAAGCTGTTGACTTCATGTGTCTTTTCTTAATTTTGTTGTCATTCAGATTGGTGAATGGGCAGAAGCAATGATGTTTTGAACAGAATATCATGGTTATGAGAAAGATCATATACAGTTGAAGTATGCCACCAAATTATCTCATTTACATACTTCAGGAGATTAAAAATAACATTCCTTTGCTAAAGTTACAAATTTCAGTCATTGGTACACCTTTTCTTGCAAGTGAACATGTAGAATCGGTAACACAGAAGGTAAAGGTAAAGTTGTCCAGTGCTTAACAAATTAAGAATTACGCAATGAGAGCTCATGGGAGAGCGAACATATAGATCCACATTTTCTTGACCTCGGCACTAATTGGAGGTGAGTGGTCAGTTCATGACCCGGTCACTTTACGCGTGGGGAAAGAGCCCCCGTTACTAATTGAAGAGGAAGCTGTGTGGGCCCCAGAGCTGGCCTGGATGACATGGAAAAGAGAAAATTCTTTTGTAATATTTATAACCGTTTTTGGTTACCCAGAGAGTGTTATTAAAATATATCAATAGAAAGGGAAAATGTATATTATTTAGCCATTAAAAGTTTGAATATTTTGTAAATGTATGTAATTTTCATTTCTTTCATTCTGAGCCTGTAATTTTAACCACCCAGCTCTGTTTAATAAATTTTAAATGCCAATGATCTGGTATTCTTCCTTTTGCCAGCTGATCAGCTACTCGTATATGGAAAATATAAGAAAAATGTATTGAATGTGCTGGAGCTGCAAAGTAATTGTGTTCTGGATGTGTTCATGGTCACTTAGAAGCAACATTCTGGCATATGTTTTCTTTAACTTTAATTTCTTGTTCCATCACATCCATTTGAGGCCAAAGCCTAGATACAGAATTGTGTCAAATTATCTTGCTAATACAATCAAGCAATTGTCTAATAAAATCTATGTATAATTTATAACAAAAATTGTGTACATCATAGTAAAGATATTCTCTAATATTTAAACATTAAAACTTCAATAAAATTCAAGTTGAGATTTTTACATAAAATAACAAATATTGATCATACAGTTCTTTGATATAAAATGAATTCATCATATACATTCTACTAAATATATTATATGTGTATACTAGTTTTTTAAAAATATGATATATAAAATAAATACATCATATATTATTCTACTAAAATAATTATAATTGTATTCTAGTTATTAAAGTCATTAAATATTCTACTCTGCATCTCATATACTTATGCATTTGTACAATGATTATCTCTTAATAAAAATTCATTCAATGTATAAAATGAATTAGTATACAAAAAGTCCTTTAAGTTATGTTTAAAATTATATATATTATTAAAGGTTGTTTTAATTTCATTGTGCAATGCATTGTACATCCTCACAGCCATATGAAGTACTCCATTGCCATATTTCATCAAGTTTACCTTGTTCATATGCATACCCATATCATGCCTGGTGTTTTCATAATAATCCCTGTTTATATCAAACATTTCTCTATTTTTTACTACAAATGTTAACAGGGAGCATATATACTGTGATCTTAATGGAAGTATATTCATGTTTCTAAAGTGTTCTCTGCATGATTCTCTATAATTACTTCCTTTTATCATTCTGATAGCTCGCTTTTGTATCTTAAATATTCTTTTGGCATGTGGCTAATTACCCCAAAACATTAATCTGTATGTCATAGAGTAATAAACACTTTTTAGAGTTTTAGTAGATACCATTGGTTTCAAGTTTCTTATCATGTAGCAAGCTGTATTTAATTTTTTTATGACCTTATCTATGTGCCTATCCCAGGTTATCTCATTTTGGATATTTAAGCCAAGAAATTTTGTGTGATTCATACTTGTTAAAATAGCTCTTATATCTCCCATATCTCTTGTCACATTTTTTGTAGTGAAATTTATGTAATATGTTTTTGTTGTATTAAGTGACAAGAAGTTTTTAAATCAGTCATCCATTACACTATATACCTCATTTATTATATATTTAAATTTATTGGATTTGTTTGCGCAATCAAAAAACTTGCATCATCCGCAAATAGAATGGGAGTACATTTCGTCTCCAAAATCATGGTCAGGTCATTTATATATATTATAAACAATAGTGGTCCCAATATTGATCCTTGTGGGACACTATTGGTTACTTCAGCCCATCGAGAATTTACTTTACTACTATTTGTCCCATTAAATATAGTAGTTCTTTGTTTTCTACTCAATAGATAAGACATATAGGTCATATTGGTTTCCTTTTATTCCATGAAACTTTGATTTGTTCAATAATACTTCGTGGCTAACACAGTCAAATGCCTTTTGTAGGTCACAAAAGATTCCACAGACTTGCATCTTTTTGTTTAATGAATCTAATATTCTGGCAATAAGACAAAGATTGCGTTTTCAGTTCCTTGGTTTTCCTTGAATCCAAACTGATGTTTATTTAAAATGTTATTATCATTTAAATGTTTTAGTGATCTGTTATGCATTTACCTTCTCAAATATTTTACTGATTGATGTTAAAATGGAGATAGGTCTATAATTTGATTTCATATTTTTGTCACCTTTTTTATAAACAGGCACTATTGTAGCATATTTTAAGCTATCTGGAAAGATGCCTTCATGTATTATTTTGTTATATAAGTAACTTAAAGGTTCACTAATTAAACTTTTACAGGCTTTGAGTATGTTATTCGAGATTTCATCATACCCATGGGTTTTACTAGATTTCAGGGACCATATAATATTTTCTATTTCCCTACTCTTAGTTTTTGTAGTGTGTATATTCGGTAATGGACTCTCAAAAGCATGAGACAAATATGTCATATAATTTGTAGCTTTAAATTTATCATTTGTAGTATTTGCCTGTATGTGTTTATGTATGTTGGCCACTATATCACTAAAGTATTTATTGAAGGTTTCTGCAATAGTTTTTGGATTAGTATTGTTTTTGCCTTCGATGTTTAAGCCTTGAGTATTTTCTCTATTTCCTTTCTTTAGTACTTCACTATTTATTATTTTTCATGTAGTTCTAGTTTTATTTTTTGAATATTTAATTTGATTATCATATGTCATCTTTTTGGCTAGGTTTATAACTTGTTAATATTTTACAGTAGTTCTTATAATAGGTGACTATTGTAGGGTTGCTACTTTTTTTGCTTCCGCATACAATACCCTTTTGTTTCTATGCCAGTAGTAATCCATGTTTTCTGTTTATGTCTTTGTCTTTTTGTTATTGGAAACGATTCATAAAAATACCTCCAGAGTATATTTAAAAATTGATTAAAGCTAATGTTAGTATCATTAGTATTGTCGCGTGTCGGGCGTATAACGCGACAAATAACTTCACGCCGTATTTGATATAGCGAAGTTTATTTCACATTCGCTCATACAATCACCCAAATTACAGATTTACGATTACTGCTATCTGCAGTATCACAATTAGTACACTCCAAATGCCACAATACAACTGGCTGACTGTCACAGTACAACTCCCGACTGTTACTTTATAACTGGCTGTGAATAGCCTTTGCTGCTCCTCATGTAGCCTCGATCGGACAATACAGAAAACGGCCTTGTTGCCTGGCGCTGTGTTGCTAGCAACGCTAGCGGTAGTAACCGTTGTTACTACCGTAACAATCCTGTT